AAGCTGTTGATGTGTGCTGTAGCAATGGACTGTTTGAGATGAAATTCCCTGTTCTCGGGGGTCATCCTTTCGTACCTTTGTGATTGTTTTGCCAAATGAAATAATTAAAAAAGTCACCTGGGCTCATTTAGCAATGTGGTTTTTTGGGTTTTGTTTGTGGGTGTTTTTTTTAAATAATGACCAGCATTACTTACCACTCTCAGCTCCTTTGTGCTCCCAGATCGTTGTGATTTTATTCACCTAATAACGGTTCTGCTGGTGTAGCTGAAATGAGAGGTGAATTTATTGCTGTACGCAAGGATTGCTCTGTTCTCCTTCTTTGGTTATGTGCCTTCTGCAGCCTCTCTGTGCTTTCTAAGATTGTCACGTCTCACATATTTTTGTGTATGAATGCATCCCTCAGTAAGTGTGCACTCATTATTGATTTACTCAAACTATAGATTCTTTTCAAATGATCTTCAGTGAGACCAGAATATCAATATAGCATTATTAATCAGGAGGGGCTTTCAAAAAATATTTTTTCCTAATAAAGAAAGAGGAAATCCAGTTTGTTTTCCTGTGTTACAGATGGGCAAAAACACTCAGCATTGCACTGCTGCAGTGCTAAGTCACTGTGTGGCCGAGGGGAAAATAAAATAACTGAGCACGAGGAGGACATAAATGGTAAATGGGAAAAAGGAGTTGTGCAAGTTTACTGATTTGATGCATTTCTGGCAAATTTTCAACAAAAAGGAAGACATGCAGGTCTTATTTGACTGGACCCCAGTGAAGCCTTTGGGACATGCTGTCTGAAAACGTAGTTGAGATTCAGGAGACAGGAAATAATAGGAGAATGGCAAAGCAGGTAAGGAAAATGAAGCCAGAGCACAAATAACAGGAAGCACAGAAATGAAAAACGTCTATGATGGAAATTATACAGGGGTTGTTGGAGCAAGAGGGTGAGTTGTCATACCCAGCTGAGTGGCTCTGAACACCAACAAGCAGACATCGGTCTGCAGTGCAGCTCACAGCTGTGCCCTGCAGGGCTGCTAACAGGAGGCAGCACTGTGAGCTGAAGGCTCACCTGGCGGCAGTGAGACCAACAACCCTGTGTATCCTGCAGCAAATGTGGAGTTGTCACTGTCATAACGTGGGGGAAAGTGGTTTTCATCTTGGAAAATGTGATAGAGGGTTCTGCTGGGGAGAAGTGTCAGTGCCATGCCCTTACATGGCCTTTGAGAATATAGGTGCAGTCCTGTTTACCCATGTTCTAGGTAGATTAACCGGGGCTTATGTAAGAAAACTTGATGAAATGATAGAAATGGACATTTCTGTTTGAAGAGACCAAGTATGAGTCTCACTTGTTTAGCCTGGCAAAGGGTGACTTAGTGTGGGCTGTGATTGCTGTCTGTAAATGCCCCAAACCAGAAATGTTGAAGAAAGTCAAAGTTGATGAAGGAGCAAATGACAAATAGCCAGATAAACTTAAAAAAAAGGTCATTCAGATAGCTATTATTTTGTTAGCAGCTTCCAACAAGGCCAAGGCTTAAAGTGCAATGCAGTAAATGTGTGTCTGAAAAGATCCCGTGTGCCATGGCTGCTGTTGATTACAGACACCAGCCTTACTGGTCCAGCAGTTCCCTGCTCTGTGTTGGGTCCCTCTGTGACTGTGGGTGCATCCTTCATGGTGCTGCTACCAAACTCATGCCAACCCATCACTCCAATCAACTACCATACCATACCTGCCTTTTTTTTTCCCCTAGGGGGCAGTAGATGTAGATCCTAAAGTATTATGGATCTTTTTCTCCACCTTTTGGCATCCCTGCTGCTGTCTGTGATTACTCTTAAGATAATCAGGACGTATGTTTTTAATTATCTCCTTCCTTACCTCTGCAGTTATGTTTGGAAACTCTGGAGAAAGACAAACATTTTTCTTTGCCTTTACTTACTTTTTATTGCCTCTATTTCAAGCCTCTTCTTTCTTTATGCTTGCTACAAATTGCTCATAGGATTTCTTCATTGCAAATAGATTTGAAAACCCGTTGTAAATGTCTAACATGAAGTGATGTGTCTATAGCAGTTATGTAGAGTGGTAGTTGAAGGTCAAGGAAAATACGAAAGGCCACAGTATAAAACCTGGTAAGTTTCAAGGGGAGCTGGCAGCAGTCAGATACAATTCTTCTTCCAACATCAAAACTTCAGGGGACCCTTTTTGATCACCTCACACCTGTTTTGAAGCAGAGCTGTGGAGCTGGTCAAGGGGAACCACTCTGGGTAGAGACAGTTGTATCTGCGTGTCACAAAGTCCTGTGCAGTTTGTGGAGGCAAATAGGGCAAAAGGAACCATTGGGAATCGGCTCATCGCCCCTCCTGCTCCGTGTCAGAATCAACACCAGCTGCATCACTCGAAGCAGATGCTTGTCTGACATCTTCCTGACGATCTTCAGTTATGGAGGTCATAGAATCATGGAATCCTTAGAGTTGGATGGACCTCTGAACGCCATCTAGTCCATCTCCCCTGCACTGCACAGGGGCACCACAGCTGGATCACGTTGCTCAGGGCCTCATCCAGCCTCGACCTGAAAGTCTCCAGGACCGGGGCACCAAGCACATCTCTGGGCAGCCTGTGCCAGTGCCTCACCACCCTCCCTGTGAAGGACTTTTTCCTCGTGTCCAACCTAAATCTACTGTCTTTGAGTCTGAATCCATCCCTGATGGAAAAAAAAATCTCAGATCATTTCTACTTTTACTGCTGTACTCTTCTTTAATATCTGAATCTTCCTGGGAGAAATCTCAACCTGTTACTTCTTGCACTATGAATATGCAGAGTAGCTCTTCTCCATATTTGCAGCAGCCTTGTGGCTGTTGTCTTCTCTTTCCCTCTTTAGGCTTTACAGCTCTTATCACAATTATGTTTTCCTTGAATCATCTTCATTTCTCCCACACATATTTTCTTTCACACACAGAGCCCCAAACTGCAGAGAATAGTTTGGCTGAGATGCTAACAGCGCGTAGCACAGCAGGATTGCTTCAGAAGGGTTCCAATAGTTGCAAAATTTAGTTTTGCAGCCTCAGGGAAATCTTGAGCTGGGACAGAAAAGCAATGTGGAGAAAGTGCACACAAAAAGTGGAGACAGGTAGGAATCTGGAGAGCCATTGTCCCTGCTTTTGTCGCACCAAGGGGATGAGAGCAGTGGGGCAGCACTCGTTCATGCTCACCTGGTTTTGTGTGTGTGTGTCTGTGTGCCTGGTGTAAGCATAGTGCTGTTAATTCATATCCAGCTTATGATGTTGTATCACCAAATATTTTCCTGAAAAAAGAAGCAAAAAACAAACAAAAACCCCAACTAAAATACTACCATCAGTTTTCTCTCTTGATGCAGTTGTTGATTCATGGCTTGGTCTGAAAACCTGTGCTCTTCCAAACTCCATCCCCAGCTTTTTGGGATTTTAGTTCTTATTCTCTCTCACAATGTATCTGTGAGCACTACAAACCCTATCTTGCTAGGAAATTTAATCAGCATGCTCTCTAGTTCGTTATCTATATGGTTAATGAGAATATTGAATAATTCTGAACTCAGGAGCAGGTTACCTTTCCTTTGGAATACGCAGAACCTCCATCTCAGGGTATTTTCTGTCTCTTTTTTTTATGCAATACTGCACAAATTCCAAAACTGTTGAGAATAATGGAGATGAGATGCTGGGTCGCAGCCCCAGTGAAGGAGATTTGGGGGCATTGTTTGACAGCAAATTGAACAGGAGCCAACAGTGTGCCTGGGTAGCCAGGAACACCAGCTGTAGCCTGGGGGGCATCAAGCACAGCCCTGCTGGTCGGCTGGGGGAACGATTGTCCTGCTCTGCGCTGCTCTGGGCGGCCTCACCTTGAGTACTGTGTGTGATTTTGGGCACCACAGGACTAAAGGGACATAAAACTGTTAGAGAACGTCCAAAAGAGGGCTATGAAGATGGGAAGGGTCCAGAGGGGAAGACGTGAGATGAGCAGCTGAAGTCCTTTGGTTAGAATCGTAGAATCACAAGGTTGGAAGCGACCTATAAGATGATCTAGTCCAACCGTCTCCTCATCACCATTCCACCACAAGCACTAAACCACATCACGCAGGTTTGTTCAGCCCAAGGAGGAGACTGAGGATCGGCCTCACGGCATCTGGCAGCTCCTCGCGATGGTCCACAGCTCCCTGACAGCAGCCTGCAGCTCTTCATGGCAGCCTGAAGCTCTCTGTGGCTGTCCTACAGCCCCTCGTGGCCCTGCAGCTCCTCACAGGGAGCGAACGGGCAGCGCTGAGCTCTGCTCTCTGTGACAGCGACAGGGCCAAGGGAACGGCGTGGAGCTGTCATGGGAGGGTCGGATGGGGGTGTGGGAAGGGCTGTGCCCAGAGGGCGGTGGGCACGGAGCAGCACAGCCCTGAGCTGCCGGAGCTCGTGGAGCCTCTGGGCAGCGCTGTGAGACACGGGCTGGCGCGTGGTTCTGTGCTGGGGGTTGGACTCGGTGACCCCGAGGTCCCTTCCAAGTCTGGATGTTCTACGAGTCTGTGCTTTAAGTTTCTGAACCTTGCTGACCTAAGTGACAATTGGATGAGAGAAACCAGGCCCTTTTAGAGCAACCCTGATGTATTTCTTTAACTACTATTGATTAAAAAATGAATGCAGCTGCAAATGTATTCCTCCCCTCCCACAACTTGTGTTTCTGCTTTTTTAGCCTGACCAGCGTAGTTTAAAATAGCAAAGAAGTAAAAACAAACTAAGCAAATTTGTGGGAGAAAAGATGGCTTCCTGCAGCCCAGATAAGGAGGACAAATGTCAGCTTTCTTTGAAACCTGACTTAAGGACATAGCACCAAGTGAAGCTGAAGGGAGCAATGGAACCACTGTGTGCCCACTGCCCAAGAACGTGCAAAGGAACGCGAGCGCTGCAGGGTCTGTCTGTGCCACTGCCATCAGGGCCAGACGTGGCAGGGAGCTGCAGGGCAGCTGGGGAACAGAGAGACTTGGGTTGAGCCAGGCAGCTTTTAAAAACAACAGCAAATCACATTTATTTTCTACACTTTTGAAAGAAAATACATGGGGGAGATAGGGGAAAAAAAAAGAATTTCAAATAAAACTGTATGGTTTTTCTCTGGAGAGAAGACATGCTTGCACTGTAACCTTCATCCATTTGTTATGTAAGTGCATTTTACACAAGTCTTCCTTCACAATACTGTGGGGAGTGGAAGAATCGCAGGAATTCAGTGTAATTCTCAGCAAGGTGATGTTGAGTCAGTTCCATCCTGTTGTACCGTGGCTTCCACTTGGAAAAAAGGAAAAAAAGAAAAGAAAACAAGTTGTGCTGCTTCCTATAGGACTGTGAGCTGCAGTTGTACTGAGTAAGGGCTGAGTGCTGCTGGTACGTAATTGTTGCCACTGAACTCTCATTACGTGCGTGGCTACATTGTGTCTGCAGCTCCCTCATTTCCAGGCGGCCGACCCGCTTTCCCGATGTTCTCCTCGTAGCTCTCGCTATAGAACTGCTACGAACATCCAGATAGAGGACAGTACTTGTTCCGCTGTATTCACTTGAAATCCGGTGGCACTTCCCACCCCATCCCGGTGCTGCGGGATGTAGCCGGCTGCCAGCTAAGGCAGAAGCAGCCGCTCGCGTCGCTTTATCTGTAGCGGATCAAACACGAACGGAACCCCACCCCGAGCCCTGCCGCGGTGCTGCAGCCCCCGCCGTCCGTCGTGCAGCGCTGGCGATGATGGAAACGGGTCGCGAGGCGCCGCGGCCGCCATCGCCACGGCTCGGACGGGGGTGCGCCCCAACCGCACCGCCCCGCGGCTCCTCGGCCCTCCCCGCACAGCGGTCGCAGCCCCGGGGCGCTGCTGGGCGCGGCGTGGAAAGGGTTAAGGCCGTTCCCTACCGCCGCCCCCGCCCGCGCGTCCCCGCGAGGCCGCGGCTGACCTTCACGGAGCCGCATCGGGCACGCGCACCGCCGCCCGGGGCCCGCGGGAGCCGCGATCGGTCCGACCGCGGCCCGCTGGGGTTCGGCGCGGAGCCGGAGGGGGCTCGGCCCGGACCCGGCCCGCCGCCCATCCTGGCTCGCGGCTGGCGCACGCCCTGCCCGTGCCGGGCGCGCCGTGGCCATTCGGTGCCGGCGGTGCTGGCGGCGGAGCGCGGGGGGACTCGAGGGGGGACCGCGCGCCGCGCCACAGCCGCGCCCTGAGAGCGCCGGGCCCGAGCTGAGGAGGCCGCGGGCTCCGGGGCCGAGGGCGGCGGCGGGCTCCGTCCGGCGACCGCGGTGCCCTTTGCGGGCGGTGCTAGCGGGCCTTTGCCCAGAGCCTTCCCCAGAGAGCCGCGCTGCGCTCTAGCGCCATTCGGTGCCATGCCGCGCGATGAGGGTGGGGACGCGGCTCCCGTTAGGAGCGGGAATAGTGACGGGTACGGCTTTGTGTCAGCAGCGTTGCTGCGGGGGAACCGCTGGGTCCCTGCGCAGTGCAGTCCGCAAAGAGAAGGCAGGTCGTGTGCTGGGAGCACAAAAGGGCTCACGAGACGGGAGCCGATGTCACCGCACGCTTTTGGGACCTGAGCCTAGCAGGCGCGGGGCGCCGCCGCCATGCTGACACAGCAGCTCGGTTCCCGATCCCACGTGCAGTCGGTTCGGGTCGGCCAGAGCCGCAGCGGTTTGGTCCATGCCCCGAACGAGGCTGTGCTGCTGTGCTGGGTGTGTCTGAGCGAGCGGAAGGGGGAGGGCGCTGATAACAGCTCCCGCACGCCCAAACGCTGTAATTCCTGCGGTATCCCGCACGGCTCTGCCTGGGCTGGGGTCACCTTGAACATCAGCGGAGGCTGCGCCTTGGTCCCTGCGCACACCATGCCGTGTGATCTCCATGGTCTGCTCTTCGCTGCCGGCCGATTCAGTGTCTTTCCCGTGTTTTTTTTTTTTTAACCACTGGGTGAGGGCAGCGATTTTATTTAACTCAGCCCGATTCCCTTCTATTTGCAGCCGTGCCAGAAAATTCAGAGTCCGTAGACAAGAATCTCAAGGAGAGGAACAGAACAAACCCCTCTCGTAGCCCGGCAGCATCTCTATCACTGTATCACACGGACGGGAGACAGCAGCCCTCCGCCAGCCGCACACACTGCGGTGAGCTGAGCCCCGCGGCCACGCTGCCGTGCCGTCATGGGAGGCGGCACTGCCGCCCGGCATCGCGGAGAGGTCATCGCCGCGCTCCATCACGGAGGGCCCCTTCCCCCAGCTGGGCCGCGGGGTCTCGGGGTGCTGCGCGGGGCTCTGTCCGAGGAGCCGCGAGCTGCGGCTGCCTAACGGCAGTTGCGGTATTCGCAGCGCCTGCGGCCGTCGATCACGCGGCTCTGTAATGGATCCGTCGTAGCGGGGCCGCAGCGCCCCGGACAGATCGCTCCGGGCGGGGCCGCCGCCATGCTGCCCGCCGCCCCGCTCCTCGCCCGCCCGCCATCCCCTCGCCCCCGCGCCCTCCCTGCCCGCTTCTGGCTCTCCGCCTCCCGCCGCCTCTGCTGCCGAAGGGGCCGTTCTCAGCCTCGCGCTCGAATCGCCGCCAGCGAATGTTTGCGCGCTGCCGGCGGTCCCCGGGGACGGGGCCTGGAGCGCGGCGCGGGCGGAGCGCTGCGGACGGGGGGCGCCATTGTTTCTCGGCGCTCGCCCGCTGCGTGTCCTAATGGGAAAAGTCCCCCGGAGCCGGGCTGGAGCCGCCGCCGAGGCCGCCCCCTCCCCCTCGCCCCAGAATTTACCATCCCCTGCGCCCAGGAGGAGCGGCTGCAGCTCTGCTGCGAAAGGCCGGGACGTGTTTTCAATTTGCCTCCCGCTTATCTCGGGTGTTTGGACAGAGAGGTTTAAAAAGCGGGATTTTCTGTCCCCGCAGAGTAAACACGCAGAGCCCGGCAGCGCAAACTATTTCTGGCTTATCAGTGGAGGAATGCAGCAGCTGAGGCCGAGCGCGAGTGGGCCGTCAGGAAGGCCCTGAAGGGGCCCCCTCCCCACTCCGCGCTATTAGAAGTGTGAGAGCCCAGCAGGACTCAGAGGGGAGAGTTGGAGAAAAAGGCAGAAAAGGGAAAGAAAGAGGAAGAGAGAGAGTGAGAGAGGCTGAGCAGACCCCGATGGCTACAGACGAAGTTACAGGAGGGGCTCGCAAAGCTACGAAAAGCAAACTTTTTGAGTTTCTGGTCCATGGGGTGGTGAGTCGGGAAAGTTAGCGAGCTGGCTGGCTCCGAATCGAGGGATGAGTGGAGAGCGGAGGCTGCGCCGGGCTGGAGCGGCCCCTGCAGCGCGCTCGTGGGGCGCCGCTCCCCGCCTCGCCCGAGAGCCGCGGGGCTGCCGGAGCACGATGTGACCGATCCGTTGCTATAAGGCTTTGTCTGGGGGGTTGCGTGCTGTGATTGCTGCTTTGATTCTCCATGCTTGGTGAATGGCATGCTTCTGAGCCTCGTCACGGTGCGGGATCTGCACCGGGTCTGACCCAAACGGGCTTGTAGGACACTTTGTTCTGTAAGCAAACTTGTGTTTTGAAAAGCAATTCTGATGCTAGTCCGATGCGGCCGTGTGCTGCTGCCTCTGGTTCTCGTCTCCAGCCTGGGCTCTGATGTATCCTCTGGCTACTTAACAGGTGACTTTCAGGGGCTTGGAGAGATTAGCGCTGCAGATCTGTGCCAGTCGATGGGTGCTCACCCACGAGGGAACGCCAGGTTGCCGCGCTTAATTAAAGGAATCGCTCAGGTCTTTAAAAAATCACCAGCTTTTGTTTAAGGAATCAGGTCTTTGATCTCCATTTAAGGGGATATGCTAACCTTGTTTTGCTGCCAGCAGAAACGATGTTCTTTACATGACTGATGGTTGGAAGCGACCACCATTTATAGCATTTGGATTCCTTGTGCTGATACACTTTTGACGAAATAAGGCCCAGGAAATGCCGATGTTGCTCAGATGGAGACAGTCCCTGCGTGTTTTCTCTCTTGAGCGTTCTGGCGCCTTCTGTGACACCTTTTTGAAGACATCTGCTGGGCGTTCCTGTACAAAGGAATCTCGGGAGCTCACTGCAGGCCTCTGGGTTCTCTCCATAACTCAGGCTAGCTCCAAATGTATTGGATCTAGCTTGTGTCCTGCAGAGCCTGGCTGTGATGAGCTTGCAGGGTGAAGGACTTTTAGATGGCATTCTGTTCTTTGAGAGCAGTGAGCAGGCAGTGTGGTGCCGATGTACATCAGCAGTCTGTTGCTGGATGGCAGATACGACAGAAGCAGGTGTGCAGATCTGTGGCAGTAGCTGTGCTATGGATATGTGAGTTCATTCAGATGGTCTGGCTCAGGGTGGCCGTAGCTGGGCGGACCGTGGGCATCCTGGAAGGGCTGTGCACGTGGGAGGCTGTTTCCTTTCCCAAGGTTTCTATCGGCACAACGCTGCTCTTCCTTTGGTATCGCAAAGAGTTGCTGAGATAGTTGGATGAATCTGCTTCTTCCCCGGGTAGATATGAAAGGAGCCTGCCAGCCTCTTATGCATGAGCAGTGTTAATTCATACCAGAATTAATGCAGCAGAACTTGTTTCCGTTACTTGTTTGGATGCTAGAGAAGTCTGACTTGTCTGCACGGACTGCTTTGCCACCAGCGGCGTCTCACTTGCTGTCTGCACTGCCTGAGTACCTGCATCTGTTCACTGCCTGTCAGTGGGAACAGAGTTTCTTGTCCGGCATTCCTTGCCCGAGCTCCTCTTGTAGGACCCTCTGCATCCCTCCTTGATGATTTCCTTTGGTTATGCTTTTGCTTCCATGCTTGTTCTTCACTTCTAGTTTCTTCCTGATCTCAGGTTCATTTTGATCAAAACAGGTTGAGGCAGTCAGTCTTCCATTGCTTACAAAAGGCCCAAAGTTTCAAGTTCATTTACCTGCTTACGTATCCTATGAAATAAAGGCGCTCCCCTGGGCGCACGTACTGCAGTCTCATCACCGCGCGGCGAGTCTGCGTCCGAATCAATTCCTTCAAAATTCAAGAGCAAACTCTTCCCGAATGCCTTGAAATCAGGCTGTGCCCCCACTGTGTCAGGGAAAATCTCCTCTTCAGATTATTAGTTTTTTATTCTCTCCTTGGCAAAATTATCTGTTTTGATTATTGCAGGTATTGTTATTGTTATTGTCTCATTTTTCAGAAATAGGGGTATTAGATAGAATGTTGTGAGGCAAATTTTTACTGTTTGAACGATTAAATAGAAAGGAGAATTTTGCAGTCTTTACTGAGAGCTGTTGGGTTTTGGGTTTATTTGATCTTTCTGAAAACATGAATTCCTTTGCTGAGGTCACTTCGCCCTTTGCTCTCATGTGTTCCATCTTGCCTTTGTTCTCCGCCATGCTGCCGGCTCAGGAGGTCTCTTCTTCCTTTTATGTCATGCAGATGGGGTCCCTCTGCAGTGTCAGAGCCGGTAGCGGTCAGCAGCCTCAGGTGTGACACTGCGTCCTGCCGGAGTCATTTGTGACGCCTCTGCTGAGCGCGGTTCTTCTTGTCAAAAGGCCGCATTTCTGCCCGTTGCTCGTTAGATTTCCCTCACTCCCGGGCTGTGGATCGGGGCCTTAACACTCTATCTGTGGGAAGAGGGATTTTTGCACAGGCTTCATCATCCTTCGCTGTCGTTTTTCCCCCTCTGCTCTATTTCCGGAACTTTTATGGATAAATACAGCTCTAATGACCTCCTGCACGCTTCTGTGTTTTTTATTGGTGTGTTTTGGACATTTTGGGCTGCCTTTATGACATCTCCCTCTGGGGATCTGGTTGTTTTCAACTCTTCTGACCCAAACTAAATTATTAGTCTTCGTGCTGGGTGCCCCTCGGTTTCTGTCCTGGAGGCTCTTCATCAGCCTCTCTGTCGGCATCCCTTCACTGGATGTTATCTTCATCCTTTGTCTTTTTTCCCTCCTTTCTTTCTCAAATAGGTATTTTCGTGTAGAGCCTTGGGAAGATCCGTGTATTTTGTCAAAGCTCTTGCCCAGACTTGTGTCCTTTTGCAACTCCATTGCGGAAATCCTCTCCTCTCTGGTGCTCGTACTGAGGCCTTTGCAGTGTTACCTTCACACGGGAGGCAGCTGGTTTGTTTTCTTGTGTTCTGACCCTTTTAAATCTGTTTCCCTGTCCTTTCTCTGTGCCCACTTTTTCTTCCTTGCAAAACAAGTCTTGTTGAATTCCGTGCACAAGCTGTGCCTATAGAAGACCATTCTGTTTCTTGGCTATTGGGTCTTTTCTGTATTCACCATATACTTCTCAGTTCATATCACCTTCTTTGTATAGGGATCTAGTTCTTTGCTCTCTGTGTCGTGCTTGGGAAGCTCTTCCTCTTAACATAAGTGCTTAATAAGTCTTTTCTTATGGTTCCTGCTAATCTCTACACTTTCATAGTCATTATACCTCACTGCTGTTAATGTGTACAAACCTGCACATCACTTGTGTGACTCCTTTTTTGATCCCCATTCTTACTGTGTGGTTGTTCACCTCTCATAGAGTTTGACAGTAAGTTGAGGAGCTGTCTCACGTGAAACAGCATTTAGAACAGTGAAAGAAGGGTCTCAAAGCATACCATGATGTAAACATACTTAATACAGAAATTAAATAAGTAAAAATAGGTTAGAAGACACATCTGATGTCCCAAGGACGTATATGGAGTGTTTAATATTTAGTAAAGTTATGGAAAAAGGGGTGAGCAATGACTTTCATAAATAAATTTTGCATCTCCTCGTACACTGCAGGGTGTAAATGAGCCTTGACCATCCAGGAGGAAGACTCAGATGTCTTTGCAGGCTGCCTACTATGTGGCAGCAGCCACTGCTACTAAGAAAGCAAATTAAATATTAACTTCATTAAGAAGTGGGACAGGGGGGTGGTGCAGAAGATGTTGTAAATCAGTTGGGATGTACTTAGAAGAATGTATTTTTTTCATGTTGATGGTTTGCATGACAAATAAGCAAAAGGAGGAGTAACCCAGACGGCAGCGACAGTGGGAGGGCTGCCAAGTCTTCATCAATCAGAGGTTGTGGAACTCGCCGTGAGGGGCTTTGTAGGAAATACGTGTGTGTTGTTTTTGTAATACCTTGGGATGACGATTGATGAGGAAAGCTGCAAAGTCTCCGTTGCTGGAGGCTGCAAGAAACTGCAGATGTCTTCAAAAGAGTAAATGTCTGTCAAAGATGATGGGGGCTTTGGTGATGCTTTATCAAGAAAAAGAAGGACTGGATGACCTCAAGGATTCGTATTTCAGTTTGGCATCAAAATGGTGTTTATTCTGTTATAATGGGGAGAAGTGGAGGTGTTTTCCCCAAATTGAATGGTGATTGATTTGAAGTAGATACAAGTAATTCTTTCAGCTGAAGAAATCACTACAGAAGTAGTGATGTGAGGAGAATATTAGGTTTGAAAAATAACAACACAGATTTTGCTACTGAAAAATATCTCAGCATTTTTTTTGTTATCACGGATTAAATACCATCTTGTCAGTGCCCAAACTCTAGAAGGGGTAGAAAGGAGCTTCATGAACAGTCATTTTTGAGCACTTTGTTCCACTGGCCTAATACAGGGTGCTCTGTGCTAGGATGTTGTCACAGCACAGTTTCTGGAACACAGGCACTGGTTTGCTGCATATGCATTTCCTGTTTTATTAAACAAGGAGATGTTTGGGTTGAGCTTAAGGCAGCCTGGGGAATTCAGCGTTTGTTTGGGAAGGTGCTTGCAGAAGCCTGGTAGAGTCACAGCGAACAGCACTGTAAAGCAAAGCTGCCAGCGGGACCGCAGGGCTGGTCTGCTCCTCGCTCCGAGCTCGGTGCAGAAAAGTTCACATGTAATCAAGAAAATCAAACCATCCTAATTCTTGATATGTCT